ATGATTATATATTTATTTCACTTGTTATTTTTAATTAAAATGAAGTTGTCTATATTTAGCTGATTGTGTTTAACACACGAGTGATGATCAGGTCAACCCACAGAAGTATAGAAATTCTACATTGATTTAAAAAAAAAACTGCGCTGTATCGGATCGGAATTAGCCGATACTCAGAATTTCTGGTATCGGATCGATTCTGAAAAAATGGTATCGTTGCATCCCTAATAACACACTCAGCAAAATATTGTCTAATTATCGTTATCGATAAAATCCCAGAAAATATTAAGATATATTTTTTGTCAATATCACACACCCCTAATATATTTAATGTTTTGTTTAGAAAAAATAAAATATAAGTGCCCTTTTTTCCACTTGAGCCCCTGCCCCTCAAAATGTCTGTGAACGTCCCTGTCCTTACTACATTTCTGGGCCTTGAACGTATCAGTTGCATTGCTGTCTATGGAGGGTCAGAGAGAGCTCTTGGATTTAATTTGCCCACTAAGTACAGATATTATGAGAGACAGAGAGGAGGACGGTGAGCGTTTTGACTCAAGTAAAATCTCTCACACACACACACACACACACACACACAGTCTCTAACTCTCCGTCTGTCCAGCTGTTTCAATCATCTAAACACACAAGCTTGATCACATGATCATAAACGCAAACATACACAGAATGCTATTAATAAACGAATGATGCAGCGCCAGAGAAGCGCTGTGTGTGGTCATGTGGTCACTCCAGTACAGTGAGCTCTGCAGGAACCAAGGGAATGTGAAGTGAGCAGTGCATGATGGGATTGATGACGTCACTCACGTCATGTCCAGGCTGCTAATGCCTGCAGGTCTGACTCATCTCGGTCTGACATACAGCAGAACAAACAATGCTTGCGATCTCTCTCTCTCTCTCTGGCCGTGTGTCCAGGCGTTTTATGGAGCTCACGTTTCTATTAATGGTACAACCGGAGGAAAAGCAGATGCTGTTTCTTATGAAAAGATTGTCAAACATCAGACCTCATGGGTCGGCCTGTCTCAGTGTTTCTGATAAAGTGTGTGTGTGTGTGTGTGTGTGTGTGTGTGAGAGAGAGAGAGTAACAATCCTAAGAGCTCACAGGTCACAACACACACACAAAGACACACAATCAAACACAGTGTCATCTTGATCTGCGCTCATTGCTCTGCTGCAGAAACACAGCTTTACTATTCATTCTAACCAGACGATTCCAGCGTATATAAAGATAATCTAGCAAAAACAGAGCTTCTCGTCTTCATGGCTACTCTAACGGTACAGTACAATTCACCAACTACAGTCATCAACAATAACCCTAACAGATCAAGCAGAACCAGCTCTGCACATCGTCAGGTGGATCAGGCTCTGTTTAACTCAGTCCAGGCCCTTGTCATTTCTAGACTGGAGTACTGGACTTCCATCATGTTCCAGCTGCTCTTATGAGTCTACACACCGTCCAGAAGCCTGCGGTCAAGCACTGAGCGACGCTGTGTGGCACATCACAGAGAGGCACAACATCACGTTCCAGAACGCTGTTTCTTGCTGGTGGAATGATCTTCCTAACCCTATACGGACCGCTGAATCCCTGACAATATTTAAGACAGCTGAAAACTCGTGAGCACTTCACCGCTGCCTCTTTAAAACACTTCTGTATTACTAGCAGTGTTGCCAAGTCCACAGTTTTCCCCTACTGCATAGGGTGAACGTACCCGTTAAGCACACTTCCATATTTGAACTCAGATTATAAAAAGAAAAAATTATTTATTATCCTACTTGATGTCTTAACCAATTGATGTGTTTGTTACTACATTCCTCCTGTAATTTCAAGTCAATCAGATCATTGTACGCTGAGATATGGGTCTCCATGTGTGCACACTGTCTGGCGGCCATTCTGAAAGCTGTCTGAAAACTTTCACCAAAAGAGCTCCTTAAATGTGCATTTTTTATATGTTTAAGCCTTTATTTTGTAAGATTCACTACTTATTGTAACATTAAGAGATTCATGTTCAGACTTTTGCAGCTTATAACCTGGAACTTGGATGTGGGAAATAATTACAGTTAGATCCAAAAGACAGTTTTAGCAACACAGCGCAGATGCTACAGAACTCAGTTAGCTGACTAGCTGTATAAGATCGTGTGCTACGCTAATATATTGCTTCACAGGCATTACTGGCTTGTACCTTTACATCCATAATATTATAAATTGACAGTTTATTGCTGGCCTGTGGTTTTATACTGCTGTAATTTTTAAAGATTTCATATTATTTTAAGGTGAGCTTAAAGGGTGCACTACTATGAAAATAACACAGCTTCAGTGTAACATCAACAAGAAAAATTATAATTTCATAGATATTGTTAATAATAGTTGTTCATATTAAAATATGTATGACCTTAATACATGACCTAGATTATTTATTTTGCAAAATATTGTCATTTTAATAATTCTTACATGAAATTTACAAAAAAATTGTTGCTGCTCCCATTAAGCTCAGTGTGCTCTCTTTAAGCTCTTCCACATTGAAAGTCTATGTAAATACTTTATAAACAGACTTTAAATATTAACTGATGGTCGTCACTTTAAGTTGATCTTAATAAAATGATTAATAACTTATTTTAACAGCTTTAAGATGACAAAATCGAGAAATAACTATAGTTTATGCCCAAAGATGAAAGAGGCATGTGGTCCATTAAAAGAAGGAGCCATGAGAAACCTGTCGTATCTGTCCAGGAAAAAAACAAATAAAGGATGGAAAACGCTACACGACGTTTAAAACGTGAACAGATTTTTAAAACACTAGGCTTCATACACTTACCTACTTAGTTTTTTGAATATGTGTTATTTCGCTGAACGTGGACTAGTCTAGATGCTGCAGTGTGCTTAAATGACACTTCACTAGGAATATATACCTGATCAAATTGAGTGCTTTGTTGCATGATTTTATTTTTTTAAATTTTTTTTGTGATTGACTTTGTACCTTCAAATAAAACATTTTTTCAATTATTCTTTAAAAATGTTGTTCAAAATAAACAAGACTTTTTAATAAAACATGATGTGAGCTTAAAGGGTTAGTTCACCCAAACATTTAACTTAGCCCATAAATTACTCACCCTGAAGTCATCCTAGGTGTATATGACTTTCTTCTTTCAGACGAATCCAGTCGGATTTCTTACAAAAACGCATCGATTCGCTACAGGAGGCCTTTGTTCACCCCCCGGAGCCGTGTGAGACACTTTTTTTTTTGGAAGGGGGCTTTTTATTTCACGTCATTTGAACCGAAGCACTGCAACACCCGCTGAGTACAACGATAGAGCTTGAAAGATCAAAGACCAGTTTTAATATAACTCCGACTGGATTCGTCTGAAAGAAGAAAGTCATATACACCTAGGATGACTTCAGGGTGAGTAATTTATGGGCTAATTTAAATGTTTGGGTGAACTAACCCTTTAATGGGAACAGGGGTGTGCTTGAAGGGGACAAACATGTACCCATAAAGCACAGCCAGACTTTTTGATTTAATGATGTATATCTTAATTTAAATGCTTTTGTCATTTAAAATAAAATTAAATATTTTTGTTTGAGAGATTCATATTTTATTTTAATATAACTTCTTGTACTGAAACCAATATCTTGTGTACTAAAAATGACTCAATGTAGATTTTGGTGAGCTTAATAGGTACGTTTACCCTACTGTTGCTGCAGGTTGTTTTTTTAGTCTGTGGGTTGAAGCGAAAGCCCTCGCCCAATCCTTCATAACATGACTTTAACCTTCAACCCCGAAAGGAGGATTTGACCTCCCAGAATGTAATTTTGTTAGCCAGTTTGCCCCACAGTAGTATTGAGTAGCAAATTGTATGATGTATAAGTATGCAGACAAACACACGACATTAGAGGTGAATCTTCACTGGCTTCATGATTTGATTCTTCTCATCCAGTAATCTACTTCATGTTGTCATGATACTAGGGATATGCCGGTATCAAATTTTCATGTTGCGATTAATTGCTAATGCTTTTATCACGGTATACGGTCACAAGTCTACCGTGTCCTAACTACACGCGACGCCTCGACATGCGATAAAAGCTATCTTTTCCATGTTAATCAGAGGTTTTCTCCTAACTAGCCGCGACGGTGACAAGCAAAATTTCTAATTTAGAAACGGTTTCTATTTCCGCGACGTCGCGGCTGGAACAACAACATACAAACTATATGACAGTATATATTCTCAGGTGTTAAAAAGCTTTAATATTTATGAATTAGATTATAAACGTATCCATTTTGTTGCGAGTGCAGAGCGCTTGCAGAGAGGCTCTGCCCCCACATGCTTCTGATTAGCTGTGATATTTGATTGACTCTGTCACGTCGCGTCTGGTGTGGACGCACAAATTGCTTGTCGCTGGAATCTTGTCGTGTTGCGTGTAGTTAGGACACGGTGTCAAATTTCAGAAGTCATTACCAATCCAGTGAAATGCAATGACTATTCATACCACAAATAATAAAACATATTTTTAATTGTTTGAGTACTTTAAATATTTAATTTATACAATTATATAAGTACTTCAAATAGTATTGAATAATAATAACAACTCTATGCAGTTGAGTAATTGTCAAATAAATACACCTTCAAAACACAGAAAGATTCATGATGCATCAGAGAATTGTAGGCTATTTCTCCCTCCCACTGCATGACATATCAACACATTACGATCATCTGGGGCCTCATGAATGAACATTGTTTAATAGAGTGCAAATGTACACATAAAAAATTTCCAATTGATTAAATCAGATGGTGCACACATAAAAACCAATAGCAGAACCGTGTGCATACATTGATTTCTAAATACTAATGTGCAAAATGTACTTTTGGCCACCCATGTTGTGTGTCTGCAGCACTGCTCTGTTATTCTAGTCGTTCGTTTGCTGATGTTTAATCGTCTCGTGTAATGTCTGAACACAAACACCCAGCAGTGCAACACAGCCTGTGCATCTACTAACCTGAGTGTGGAAGTTTGCCATAGTAGTCGTCTCGATGTCCTTCTTTCCCAGGATCTCCATTTTGACGGGTGAGTTGGGGAACTTAGTAGAGAAGTACTCCAGGAAGTCTGGGAGGTAGGAGGCGGCGCCGTGAATCACACCCATCACGTAGTTAGCGGCTCCATCCTGGTCCTCGCAAAACGCCAGCGTCACAAACTCCTGCGCAAACCTCTGCATCTCCACAGGAGACAGGACAGAGAGCTCCTTGCTGTAGGCGTGAGCCACCAGAGCTCCTCCGTTCGGCTGGTGCTCCACGTGAACCAGACAGCCGAACTCCAGCCGCTCCAGTTTAGCGGCTCTGGCCTCGCCGTCTGCTGCGCTCGCGCTCTGGCCACAGCTGTTCTCCTGCTTCAGGCTGCTGACGGAGCTCAGAGCGTCGCCCTGCTGGACTGGAGGAGGTGGCGGCTTGAGTTCTGAGCCAGATTTGGGGAGATCAGAACACACCGTCTGGATAGATTTGCTGTACATCTTGGGCCGCTTCCGCTTTTCACCTTCTTTGTGTTTCTTTTTCTTTTTCTTCTTGACCTTTTTCATCAGCAGATCCTCAGCGGAGTCGATCTTCGGCTTCTCTCGGTCACCTACAGCACAGGAGAAAGAAGATTAACTTACACAAACATCCTCAGAACGAGAGTGATTTGGCATCCTAGCAAACAGCAGAGCTAATGAAGACAGGAGCAGACAGCGGTGAATCCATCGAGGTCTGTAAATCTCCAGAGTGCTTCAGATCAGCGAGAGCTTAAAGCTGATTTATACTTCTGCGTCGGACATACGCTGTAGCCTCTCCGCCGTAGGATGTGCGTGGGTTTACATTTATACTTCTGCGTCGACGTGCAGTACACATGTAAACCGCTAGTCTGCAGTGTCCACGGGCATGTTGCTGGTGTAACCCGCAGTACCACGGCAGAACTGTTTGTCGCGAACAACAAAGTGATGTAATGCTACGTTTTATGATAAATGATAAGACACTTGTTCTTTGATTTGTTTATTTTAAATAAGAAGGTGTAACATTAAAATATATTAAAGTGCAAAACACACACACAAAACTCAAACACATATGGAGGGAGGGGTCCTAGCAGACCAATCACAGCGCTCGCGGTCCGCGTAGATTTGACACACTGTGACACTTTTGGAGAGGTGCACATCAGGCTACGGCGTAGTTTCGACGCAGAAGTATAAATCAGCCTTATAGGTGAGACGTCTGTGAGACGTGAGCTTCTGTTAGTCACGACTGATGTTTGAGTAAATCCGCTAGTTGAGCACTCATTCAGAGACAACTAGCAAAAACTCTGTAACAATTATCACACACGTCCACCAGCATCACACATGTGACCCTGCAGCACAAAAGCAGTGTTAAGTCGCTGGGGTATATTTGTAGCAATAGCCAACAATACATTGTATGGGTCAAAATTATACATTTTTCTTTTATGCCAAAAATCATTAGGACATTAAGTAAAGATCATGTTCCATGAAGATATTTTGTAAATTTCCTACCGTAAATATATCAAAACTTAATTTTTGATTAGTAATATGCATTGCTAAGAACTTCATTTGAACAACTTTAAAGATGATTTTCTCAATATTTAGATTTTTTTGCACCCTCAGATTCCAGATTTTCAAATAGTTGTATCTCAGCCAAATATTGTCCTATCCTAACAAACCATACATCAATGGAAAAATTATTTATTAATTTATTATGATGTATAAATCTCAATTTCAGGAAATTGACCCTTATGACTGGTTTTGTGCTCCAGGGTCACATATAAGGAAAAAAATGGAAGGGAACTTTGAAGCTTCATCCTGATCCATCTGAACCTGCAGCTTCGAGAACCAGGAAAAAAACTGACAGACAGATGATGTCATTAGTCATGTGATGATGATGATGATGATGATGTCGTTCATCTTGTGCACAATAGATACATAAAACAAACAAACTACAGTCCGTGAAGACTTTCAATCATTAAAAGTGTGTAATACGTAACCACTTTACTTCCCTACAATGTTTTTTTTAAATACTAGGTAACAAACTCAACATTATTCCTTGATCGATGACAGCTACACTGATATTAAACAATCTCATCATATGCGAGGCTATAATCCCAGAAATTAAAACATTTTTTTTTTTTTATTTTTGTTATTTAATTTTATTAGGTGGAACACATGTCATGAAAATAATACATCACTACAAAGAAGCTTAATGGTCCTAAAACTAAGCATAATTTTCTCCATCCATCCATCCATCGTATGAAAATGTATTCTAATTAACCCAGTTTTCTTTGATAAGACTGACATTTTTAAGTTTTGTTATTAATTTGATATCCCAGTAATTTACCAGATTAAGTAATGTTTTTATTATTACACACCAGGGTCAGAAATGATCTTTTCCATTAAGGGGCAATTTTTGCCTTCTGGAATTCATTTCCAGGGGTATTTTCTTTTTTTTTTTTACATTTGTGAGGGCAATTTTTATCACCACCTTAATAACGGTATGTGTTGTCTTTACTCTTTAATGTCAAATACTTGAATTTTTAATCAAAATACTTTAAACTGTTGCCAATAACAATTGATGTTTAAAATTGTATCTAGATGATATGTTTAAAAACAGGAGCTAATATGGCTGCAATATTATGACAAAAATTGCTGTTGTCAATTATTGCTCTTGATATTAGAATGATTATTAATGTCGATTAATAGAATCATATAAAAACTTATGTGGGTTAATTTCAGACCCTGCTACACAGTAAAATGCTTACCTAGTTTATTAACTTAAGGTGAGCTAACACAGTCTATTTAAATTTGTAAAAAAATAAAAAATAAAAATAAATAAATAAAAAATTGTTAAAACTATGATTAGGCATGCTTAGCATGAGATTGGGTTTGGAGGGAAAATGAGTCAAAACTGACACTACTTGTTTTGTTTTTTTAATGAAATATTGCAGTTTATTTTAAAGGGGTCATATGATGCGATTTCAAGTTTTCCTTTCTCTTTGAAGTGTTACAAGCTCTTGGTGCATAAAGATCTGTAAAGTTGCAAAGGCTAAAGTCTCAAATCCAAAGAGATATTCTTTATAAAAGTTAAGAGTCAACCACGCCTACCTAAAACGGCTCGTTCTAACACGCCCCCCACATGTCTACGTCACTATGTGGAAATATTAGCATAATGCCGCACAAATGTGCACGCAAAGAAAGAAGGCGTGGTTTCAGGAACAGCAGTAGTGTTGATGCAGCCATGTCAGGGATGGCTGTGTGATTCAGTATGAAAGCAAAAGCACTTTATTTGGCCTTCCGGAAGTAGATGCAATTAGGAATCATTGGTTAAGATTTATTTACAACAGAACAGCACAACCCAGATGTTCGAATTTGTGCAACGCATTTTATGGACGACAGTTTTTTGAACCTAGAAGAGTACAAGGCTGGCTGTGCACA